TGGGAAATTAAAATCAGCAGTCCCAGATACCTGAAGGGGCCACAGTCATTAGTTTCAACAGCTCCTATAAACACCATGGAAATGTCCAGCCATCATACCATCCTGGAAGGGTTTGGTTTGGTTTAACTGTCTTCTGAACTGAAGGATGACGGTACATCATGCAGTCTGGAGGTGTAGCTGCAGGAGGGACTGGTGCACTTTGCAAAATAAAAGGCATTGTGACCGGGGGCATATGCACCAGCACCCCTGGCCATTCCTGTCAGATTCCTTACTGTGATCTTGATTGGACCGATCAGACTTTTGAAAACCTTTTCATAATCCATGACTTCATGTTTCTTTGGATTATAATTATAAATAATAAATAAAACCCAGTTTCTCTTGGCCTCTTTTCAAAATTAGTTTAGTTATTTTTCATTCATGTATGCAAATGATTGTTTCTATTTTTTGTGTGTTTTATTTGTTAAGCTTAAACAAGATGATTTGGAAATCAAACAGATCAAAAATATCATGTTAAGCCAGTTGCACAGTGTAATTTGATCCATATGATGTGGCTTTACTGCCTCCTAGTGGTGGAAATCAGTGCAGCAAGAAGCAGGTGGCCAAATGATGGAGTAAATATCACACATATAAATCTGGTGTGTTGCAGTAAAAAGAGAACACAATAAACAAGAAAGTCCCACTTCATGAATTACAGATTGAAGCATCTGTCCAGGAAAAGTTGGCTCTATCAGGGTTACATACCGACTAACGCAGTTCAAGTTGCCTTTGTTGGTTTGTTTTACCTTATGACTGCTGTTCCTCTTTTCTCTCCTCAGTGCAGTTTGCTACTTCTGTTCTCATGACTTTCCAGACTCTTTCCTTTGACGTGTGTGTTTATTTCGAGCGCTCGCTCCGACTGTAGAACGACTCATGACTGTTGTTCTCTGGAAACATCAGCCGTCACATGCTGTTTAGAAATAATTTTAAAAAGATTCTTTATTAGAAGATGTAACAGTTAGCGTCTGATTCATGTTTTCTGCTTCTATGGAAATAGTGAGGGATTTTCATTTCTTTACAATCCCTTGTAAAAACTTCAAGAACCTTTGGAGTTTTTCACATGTTGTGACATTACAACCACAGACTTTATGAGGAAAAACTAATACAAACCAGGGTATAAAAGAGAAATAAAAGGAAAATATATATGTTTTTCTTGTTGTTGTATACTTATTCATTTGCATTCAACTCTTTTTAGTCAGTACGATGTTGAACTACTCATTGCTGAAGCCTTTTCGGCTATGAATCTGACATAGAGCTCTGGAAAAACGTAAGAGCTCACCTCACTGAACCCCATTGAAAACCTCCTGGTTATTCCACCAAATATTAATTGCTGAACTCTTCCTGAGTTAAAACATTAGTATTGTTGTTGCTAAATGAATATGAACTTGTTTTCCGTACATTTTTTTAGGTCTGAAAGCACCTCAAATATTTTGACCATTTCTCATTTTCTGCAAATACAAAATTTTTGCTTGGACTTTTGGAGACATGTTGTCAGTAGTTCATAGAATAAAAGAACAATGTTTAATTTTACTCAAACAAATGCTTATAAAGAGCAAAGTCTTGGTGCTACACCATGCTACCGATACCTTTAAACCATGGAGACTGTGTGTTCAGAGTGATGTGCAGTGTTTCAATTTGATGATAAAGAAAAGCATGAGGTGTGCTAAAACTATAAAGTCTACTGAAAATGTTGTTTTCTCTTAATGTGATGAAAACAACCTCATTTATTCCTGCGTTGTATTTTGCATGTTAAACCTTTGAAAATCAGTGGCTAGTGAAATGAAAAATGTCTGCTGGTTTTTCTGCATCAGCTTCCAGACCGAGATTCAGACGGTGAGCAAGCAGTTCCCGAGCGAGCCGTTTAAATTCCTGGAGCCCACCCTGCGGCTCGAATACACGGAGGCCTTGGCCATGCTGCGCGAGGCCGGGGTGGAGATGGGAGACGAAGATGACCTCAGGTCAGGTTACGTCACACACCCTCTGCCACGTTTTGTCATATGGTTTCATTTGAAAATACAGAAGTCAAGATATGCTTTAAGGAACTCTGTGTTTATGTCATTCTCGTGATAAGACCAGTTCTCCTGAACTTTTTCTTGTTGAGCAGGAAATGAAAGAATTTGAAAGCTGTGTGAAAGTTTTTGCTGACGGTAAATAAAACGTTTTTTGTTATTCCGCAGCACTCCTAATGAGAAGCTGCTGGGCCGTCTGGTCAAGGAAAAGGTTCGTACAGTTTAATCCAGTCCTTGAACGCCTCCGTCCTGCAGCCTTTTTGGGTGCATCCCTGCTCCAACACACCTGAATCAAATGAACAGTTAATGATGGGACATTTGCTAAACTTGCCGAGGAGTTAATGAAGTCATTTAATTCTGGCCTGCTGGAGCAGCTAGGCATCCAAAAGTTGCAGGACTGGAGCTGCTGGCCACTCCCACATTTAAATCCAAAAACAAAAGTGCTCAAAAAGTGAGCTAGTTGCTTCACTTGTGTGCTCTTATTAATATCCGTTGTTTTTATTTTTATTTTTCCTCAGTATGATACTGACTTTTACGTGCTGGACAAATACCCACTGGCTGTTAGACCTTTTTACACGATGCCGGATCCAAACAACCCTGTGAGTTTCTCCTCTACACAAAACACTCAAACACTTACCATCTAGAAAGCAGAAATATGTAATAATGAATTTGCTTCCATACATTTTTAGAGGGAAGTTTCTTCAGCTCCATAAATAAAAAAAAAAGACTGATATTTTCTTACTTTTAGAAAGCTATTTTTTTAAATGTTTCTTGCAAAAGTATTAATAACCCTTAAACTTTTCATATGTTATTTTATAACCACTAACTGATTTTCTTGAGGAGTTACTGACAAACCAACAAAATATCAGGAAATGGAAAGAAATAAAAAAAAAATGCTAATTCTTCTATATGCAAAGAAAATTTGAGAAATTTGACATCCATTAGTCACACTTGGCACCAACCTGTCCTTTTATACTGGAATGGTAAATGAATTGTAGTTGTTGAAAGAAACAGAGCAAAGGTGCTCTGGACATGTGGGATCAAAATGTAACTTTGTTCTTCCTTTCATGCAAAACGCTGCATGTGGCAGAAAAAAGACAAATTTCCCTGGACTCACCGCTGGGACGCTTTTCTTTAGCAGGAATAATGAAACTGATCAAAGTTGATGGTGATAAATACAGAGCAGAACTGGAAGGAGACCTGTTAGAGGCTGGAAAACATTTTAGACTTTGGCGTAGGTTACAGCAGTCCTCAGCTTACTGCCAAAACTGCATTAGAATGGCCTAGTCAAACTCCAGACCTAATTCTAGGTGAGAATCTGTGGAAAGAACTGACGAAATGCTCCAACTATAGTCAAAGGTTGTTTTACATGTTATTGACTCAGAGTGGATGAACTCAAACGCAGAAATTTTCAGGGGGTTTTTGGTTGGAAAAAAAAATCCACTTTGATTTCACTTCATAATTATGTAATATGATAAGTCGATGCATCATATAAACAACACTATAGTTTGTAGTGAAACTGTGAAGCAGGTTGAGGTGTAAAGACTCATTTAACCCTAATTAACATTCAGAAAGTTGTTTACTTATCTCCATATAAGACCTTATATACTTAGTGTAAATATTTGATGCTAATGAACAGATAATATGATTCTTTCCTGGTTTTTCTTCCAACCAGAAATACTCCAACTCTTATGACATGTTCATGAGAGGAGAGGAGATCCTGTCTGGGGCTCAGAGAGTCCACGACCCTCAGCTGCTGACCGAACGGGCTCTGCATCACCAGATCGGTAAGAAGCAAGCTTACACGCATTCACAGAATGTATTTGAAAGGATTTGTCTCCCTCTGCAGACGAGTGGCAGGTATTACAATAGAACATCCAAAGGATTGAGTGTTTGTGGAGAAAAAAGCAAAATGTTTAATGTGCTACTTTGTAACAATTCAGTTTTTTTTCTGATTATTATAGATTTGGAGAAAATAAAGTCATACATCGACTCATTCCGATATGGAGCGCCCCCTCATGGTGGAGGAGGGATTGGTAAGAAGCTTTTTAATCTTTTCTACTGGAAACTTGAATCTGGTGAGTTACCAACCCAAACTCCTTCACAGGTCTGGAGAGAGTCTGCATGCTGTACCTGGGTCTCCACAACGTGCGTCAGACCTCCATGTTCCCCCGTGACCCCAAACGTCTCACACCCTGAGCACAGCGCCTTGTGGAAGAATCCCTTACCAACCGGACTCAAAGCTGTAGGTGACAGAGATTACAACAAATCCACAATCCAGAAAGGGGGCGATGAGTGGGATAGAGCGTCACCCCCCGTTTCTAACAGGCTGACAGAAGTTAATTGCGAAGAAGAATGAAGCAGTTGTAATAGAAGGTACTTTATTGATTTGTGTGCATAGTTTTCTAACAACAACTAAAAACAGACGCGTTGAAGAGGGAAGGAATGGGCCAGAACACTCCCACAGGAGGCTGCTCATGTGTAATTAATCTTCTAATTAACAAGGGTTTTCTAAGGGTTAATTATGTGGATTAAACAACTGTAACACAAATCAGAGTCCTTTGTATTACCAGCACCAACATTAAATACAATGATTGTGGTTTTCAACAGTTTGCCTGTAACTAAATGTGTTTTATAAGTAATTAATGAGAAATAAAAATGGCTAATTGAAGAAAAAAACTGTTTTTGTTTCTTGCTGGGATCTGGAAGGACATAAATTACCAAAATAATAATTAAGCTTGAAAGGATTAATAATTCAGACACATGTTTGTTTCATGTACATAAATATGACATTATAAATATTAAAGCTTAAGTGCATTTCTTCACTCATACTTGGTTAAAGCCTCCAGTTTCCATCCCTGCTCCAAAGAGAGCATCAAAGTGCTTCAGTGTTACAAACATAAATAAAACTATAATAAAGTTTACATAAGATTTACACAAATATAGTATTTTTTGTTGATTGGTGCGCATGCATACATGTAACGTTGCTCCCCAAAATACTCTGTACATTCAGGATTTACTGATAAAATGTTGCTGGGCGATTGCTTTACTCGGTTGCCACTCCGCTGACTTGCAGGATGAAGAGGAAGATGTGAACGATATCAACGTAGAGAGAGAGCGCGCCGTAGATGTACTCCTCTGGGCTGATGGCCAGCTCCCGATTTCCGATGAGAAGCTGAGTGTTGTAGACTAAAAACTAAGAAAAGAGGAGAAAACAAGTTTCACATCTGAAACGTTTTAGTGTTGACATGTTTTTTCAGGGTGGGTCTCGTGTTTTAGGCGACCTTAATGAACAAGAAGACCAAGAAGCAGCAGACAGATCAGGCATTAAGTTGTGGAGAAGTTTAAAGCAGGATTAGCTTATAAAGCATATTTGAACATTTCTGAGAACAAGCACTTAGGTAAACTGCAAAACTGGCTCACTCTAAGGACAATAACTTTGCTTTTCTTCAGAAATGGACAGAGAAGATGGATGATGCTAAATACAGGGAAATCCTAGAGAAAACTTTTAGACGCTGTGAAATATTTGACACGTTGGCATGACGACGACCCTAAACATACAGAACTACAATGAAAAAGTTCAGATATCCTGGTGTCAGAATGTCTCAGATAAAGTCCAGAGCAAAACTTAACAGAAAATTTCTGATGGAATGTAAAATTTACTCTTCAGACACTGTCCATCCAGTCTCTCTGAGTTTGAGGTATTTCACAAATAACAACGGGCGAAACTGGAAGGGACATGAACCGAAAGATGTGTAACAGCAATTGACCTGACGCCACCTGTCAATCAATCCAGTGGGTTTGTCACAATTTGTCCCGAAGTAAACGCCTCTTAGCTGGAGGAACTGGACCTCTGACAAAGAGTCAGGGTTTATCATTAGGAATGACCTACGGCCATGGAGATTTGGTGAAAAATAAAAGTAGAAAATGGTTAAACGTTGTCAGAGGGGAACATGCACTTAAGATGCACTTTATCCCAGATCATTTAGAGCGCGGAATAAAGTTTATTCCATTTCCAAAACCCAATGAAGTCTGGAAATGGTGGTTCTACAAAGTAAGAACATTTTAAAACAAATTATCACCTTTACTTACATTCCAGCTTTTGCTACTTTGTGCTGTTTTATCCCACAGAATCCCAGTATAATAAACTCTACATTTCACAAGCCATAAATCCTTTTCAAGCACAGTTATAAACACTGATCACCAGATTCATCAATAAGCACTGATACTCTGAGAAATTCTGGTTATTTGGAAATCAAACATTGCATAAAAATAGAGCTGCACTCAGCTGCAATTCCTACAAAAACAACAAACATGCTATTTACCTCTTCTCAATATAGCTTGAAATCAATTGGCCTTTTCCTACTGAACAATATAGAAACACAAAGCTGAAATGATTTGAAATTATGCCGGCGTTCACTCACCAGAGTGTAAACGACGGCTCCGATTGCAGCATAGAGCATGTGCAGCCAGGGGACCTGTTGAGTGACATAGAAAAGGCTCTCTAAATGTGAAAATTGGTCACACATGCACACCCCTGTTGAGCTGCCGCTGAAGCTCACACAGAGGAGCAAGAGCATATTAAAGGACTTGACCAAAGAGTCCTCACATATTGGAAGGAGAGCACGATGGACGTAACAATCCCAATGATCATGAGCAAAACAGCAGCTATGCAGAGAAATCCCCCGCAGGAGGTGAAGTCCACCTGTGATTAGAAACAAGTCATTAAAAGGATGAAAGGGAGGCAGAACACGCTTCAAGCCACACATAAAGGAGCAGTGAAAATGTATTTTTTTTCTTTTCTTTTTAGGTTTCTCAGTGAAGTTCCAATAAAAGAAAAAAAAAAGAAAGTTGGCTGGATGTGCCATGTTCTGGCCAAAACATGTAACTTATGTATCTGGAGTTGCATCAGACGGGATTCACATCTTATCCCAAAATGTTATAAATATTTAAAGGACCCCATTGTAATGCGAGACAAAGGAGTTCTTTTACACTGACAACAAAGACATCCTCTGACAAGCCACAGGCTGCTGAGCTGCAGCAGAAGAACCGTTTTCAGATACCTTCGTCTGGAAGCAGAAGACTGTCACTGCTATGCACACTACGCCTGTTATTCCCATGGCGATTATCACCGCTTTGGTCTCATAATAGCTGGAAAAACAGAAGTATACAGATTTAATTAGAAAAACATTTTACCATGTTTCAACCACAAACTTCAGGGCATTTTATTTGGATTTTATGTGGCAGAAAACGGAAGATTATTATTTGTTTTCCAATTTTATTACGAATAAGAATCTAATTTGATTGAATAACTCTAGCTAAAATTCAAAGGAACTAATGAAACTGAAGTTTTTAATGCTGCGTCACCATGAACCAACATCACTGTGACACATGGTAGTGGCAGAATGGTGATGTGGGCATGCTTTTCAGGCTGAAAGAGCTAATCACAGTTGATGGAGGGAAGTTAAATTCAAGGCAATCCTGGAACAAATCAGGTTAAAAGAAAAACAACCCTGGAGATGTTTAGCTTCCAACCTGACCAACAACAGAATGATTTAGATCAGCGCATAAATCCATGTGTTAAAATGGGCTAATGCTAAAGGGAATCATTGGAAACTGCCATTGACAGACGCTCTCCATTCAGTCTGGCTGAGCGTGAGTCATTTTTAAAACAACATTTGGCAAACCTTCTGGTGCAAAGCTGGCATAACATACACCCAAAGGACGGTAACCGCGAAAAAATCTGGTTCCTCCAAAGAATTGATTGAGAAAAACTGAATGCAGATGCATGACGCAGCAAACTTCCAAGATATTTACTTCTTCTACTTTGTGTTAGTCTTTTTTTAATAAAACACATTGAAGTTTGTGTCTATAACCTGACAGAACGTAAAGAAAAGACTTGTGCAGTGAATTCAAGTGTTCAAAAACAAACCTTGAAACTGTTCCAACCATATAAGACAGGGCGACAGTCTGCAAGATAAAACACGACGAGATGTGTTTTTTTTAATTAACAGCTTGTTTTACTCTTTCATCTTTATTTGCTGCCAGTGTTTGGCTCAAGCCCTAACTCCTCACCCAGGGTTTGGCTTCAGATTCAGGATAAATACTTACAAATATTCCCAGCAGCACCAGATTCAATGGAAAACGCCTCCTACACAGAAAACGAAGGAAAACAATGTGATGTCTTCAAAAAGCCAGAATAATTTCTGATTATCTGGAAACGATCCTTGCTTTACCTTGGCTCTTTGCAGCAGATGAGAATGCAATACACCAAAAAGAAAACAGCACTATGGAGAAATAAATCAGGAATGTGGTTCTGCTTGGCTGACCGTCAAATGTTTAAAAGTTTCTTTTTTTTTTTTTACAATAAAATTAGACATTTTTGTTAAAAGTTTAGTTACTGTTGATGGAAAGTAAACTCACAAAGAAACCCAGTAGATTGCTGGGTATTGGGTGACAAACATCTTCACTGGGTCACTGTGAAACCACAGACAACAGGGTCACCAACAATGCTTTCTTTTATTCAGCCGCACTAAACAGATAGAAGTGGCGTTCTATTGGACTGAACAGGGAGACTCACACAAATGTAAAGACACCAACGACCGCAAAGGTGAACGCAAGCTGCACAGTCAAAATCAAGTAAACCTGTCCACAGACATGGAGGTCAGATTAACAGAGTGATTACTGGCACACTGGACAACAGAGGAGCAGTCTGAGTCCCTGACTCTGGCAAAGAGAAGAAAAGAAAGTCCTTACTTTTCTGATGAAGGCGTGTCGAATCGACGTGCTTTCCCACTGGTTGCTGAAAAAGTCGTCCATTTCTCCTGCAGAATTGAGAATTGCACACAAAAAAAAGGCAATTTAAGCTTCAGAAGTTAATCTGAATTCAGTAGAAGTGAGTGATGAAAGTCGGTGTAAGCTCCTGGGAACCTGGGCTGGACGCAGACAGTCCTGCTGACAGAGTGGGGATGGGCATGGCAGGCGGAGGGAAGCCGGGGCCTGGGCACATGCCGGGACTGGGGCTGTAGGACGGAGGAGGGGGCAGAGGGGCGCCATGTTGTGTCAGGAAGGGGTAATTATTACACTTAGGATCCTTCAGGGCGTCTTCATAGGATGGAGGAGAATCTGTTTTGGAAGACATTTCTCTGGACCACCTTAAAAAGGAAGTTAACAGAATTATATGAGATGCATTTATGCACTAATATTCTGGTGATATACTGTGTGCTTGTAGAGCAATTCTCATTCAAATAAGTGGAATAGAAACTGCATTGCACATGTTAAAACAGATAGACTGACATGAGAAAAAAAAGTTAAAAATGTCTACTTTAGTAAATAAATTCTTTTTTACTATTGTTTGACAGGTCAAAACAATGGAAACTTAACTGTGTTATGAAGAAATAACTCAAAAAAATTAGTGATTTGAAAATAAATTTTAGTCAAAATATTTGTGATTAATCCAAAATAACAGCAAGCCAAGTAAAATCAAATAGATAAGACCATAAAACTTCATTAAATAAAAAATTGAATAAATTAATTAATATAACAAGTATTACAGAGAAAAGTTTTTAGTTTGCTTTTAACACTAAGATGCCCTCAGACCTCCAGGAAGGCTGTAACCAAGATGAGGGCAATAATAAGAAATGGATTAACTTTAGTTTCTTACCAGCAGTATTAAGACAACCTTCTTCTCAGATAACTAACTTGCGGACATTGGGAGTAAACAAAAAAACTAATATAAAACTTTAATATTGATTCCAAAACACAAAAGTTCACTTTCTGATCACCTTAAACTTTTTCAGGATTTTTGCTGCTGAGTTTTAAAGTAACTCCAGCCACGCTGTTTTAGTTTTTAGGAGTACAGGATAGCTTTACATAGCCAGTAATATAACCACATTGTTTGAACTAAGGTTTGCATTGATGACTTAACTTTAAAAGTCCAGTAATCCAGTATTATTATCACAAAAATAACAGATCATATGAGAACATGGCTCTAATTAAACTCCCCACCGTGTCGTAGTTTAGTCTGAATATAACTGAATAAATGTGGAAAAATAGAAACGTACCTTTGCTGGCCTCAGCCTGTGATGGGAGCAGAATGCCCCTCCGTCCTCTCTGCTTAATGACTGTCATCGTTGGAAAATGTCCTCTGTGTAACTGGATATGCTCACTGAAACTCACACTGCTGTTTCAGAGAAAGCATGCCAACTGGTACACACGCTGGTACCCTCATTGTTTACTTAAACAAAATGCAATGGAATGTAAAAACAAACATGAAAAAAAAAAGGAACAAAATTTGAACCTCAAGTTCAACTGTTTCCCAAAATGTTTTCCTTCCTATTCTTTACCCATAATTATAGTTCTGTTCTGGGCAAAAGTTTAAACATACTCACATGATGGGTGTGGATTTGTTTTGTTATTATTATTTTTATTTTTGTCATAGTGACGTGTAACTTAATGTAACAAAAGCAAAGAAAACCCTAGTTCTTCTTCAAAAACAGAGGAAATACACAATTATTCTTAAATTGTAAATTCAAGTATAATTGAATGTATTTACATTTAATTATATGTACATGCGTTTTTTTCCCTTCATCATTTTAACTGTAAAAACAACAATTATTGCTTCTAATTATGAACAGCAGCATTTCTTGTTTCTATTTCCTCCGCCTTATTTTGATCAGACAACTAAACTCATGAATCCCGCAAAGGCACGCCGTTCCATCACGGTGACGTCATCACGTTGAGTTCGACGCACAGCAGGCTATGGCGCTTCCTGACTGGATAGTGACATCGTTGGTCGCTGCATCCTTCTTCTGTTTCTTGTGCTTATTTTTTCGGTACAGACGGGCCACGTTGGAGTTCTGCAGGAAGCTCCTGAACAGGATCATGGCTCGAACAGAGAAGCCGCTGTTCCGAATCGCGTTAGTACAACTAAAGTTATTAGCAGTTTTGCTGTCTGTGTAGCTTAGCGACGTGTATTGTTTTGATTTCTGTTGGTAGCAAGCCTACATTTATCTAAATTTGGGATGCCGAAAACTTTGTTTACATGCTGATGAATCGAGTGCTTATTAAAGTTAATTTAATATCTTGTTTATCTTTGAGCGTGGTGACCCAAAAAAGGTGATTGTTTTGTTGTTTTTTTTGTTTGTTTGTTTGTTTGTTTTCCAGGTATACACTCTACACAAGGACCAGACTGGGTTATATATACTACAGGAGGCAAATGAGGAAAGCCAGGGAGAAATATCCTGCTGGGCATTCCACAACTCGTCCTATGGAGCTCAACGGTACATGGCGCCGATGGGCATTCAGGGATTATTCACATCTTCCTAGCATTGCAACCACAACTGCAGCATATTTTATTAGGGTTTTATATGATAGAGTGACATGAAATAAAAGGAATTATGTTCCTAGCATAAATCTGACAACAAATTTGAAGAAGCCTCTGACTGAAGTCACTCTGTTTTTCTATGACAGTCTCACAAAGAGGATTTCTAGTAGCTATCAACTCTTAATACATTTTTAAAGGTTTTTCTAAAGGTTCTGAAAAAAAACTTTTCAGCTCTATTCGAGTTTTGTTTAGCTTGACTGTGGGCTTAAATAGCTAAATTGTAAAGGTTGCAGAGATCCCTGTGCTAAACTCCAAAGTTACACATAACTGCACATAACCATGAACATACATGGTGGCAGCATCATGCTGTGATGCTTTTAAATAAAAAAAAAGGTTAACCTTCCAGCAGAATAACAAGCCTAAACACAGCCTGAGGAACAAAATGTTGTATTATTAGTTTTCTCTTCAGAATTATGTTTAAAAAGGTTCAGCTGGTACAAATTCTTCTGTAAGCTTCAGCAGGGAAGTCATCTTATTTTCCAGTGCATTTATGGGTTTTGTGTGTATTCTGATCTGTCTTCGTCCTGTTCGTCCACAGGTATAAAAATAATTCCCATCTCAGTTCTGTCTGACAACTACAGCTACCTTATTATTGACACAGCCTCCAGTATTGCAGTTGCTGTAGACCCTGCAGACCCTCAAACAGTTCAGGTGAGCACACCAACTGCCATTTCTTGTTGATGCAGAAGTGTTTGGACACGTGAAGCTGTATTCTCGACAAATGTGGGAAGTGCACTTTGTGCAGGTTCCTGGTAAAAAATCTCCAGGGATGAAATGCTAAAGTGAAAGCGTTTGATATTAGTTTGTTCTCCCAGCTTACATGTAAATGGCACGCTTTGTTGATGTTGTTTCTTTATAACCTTTCAGACGGTGCTTGAAGAAGAGGGAGCAATGTTAGAAGCTATATTATGTACCCACAAGCACTGGTGAGTATCTGGTAATTTTGGCAAGCATATGTTTAAGTATATATATATATTTCAAGCTTATTTTCAGCAACAAAATAAATCTAAATGAAATAACTGTTTTTGGATGTGTCGGTTCCGGCCTTTATCTTCTCTTATGTTTTCAGGGACCACAGCGGGGGCAACAAAGGTCTGAAAAGGCTTCACAGCGCCTGTCATGTGTACGGAAGCGCAGCTGATAACATTCCTGGCCTCACGCAGTAAGTCCCAGCCTGCACGGGCAGCGCACACACACTTTCAAAGTTTGCCTTTTACTGTAATGAGTCGTGTCTTGTTCCCTCCGTCGGCGCTCGCAGCAGCAGCTGACTTCACAGTAAATTATCACGCAGCGGAAAACTGTTCTTGTTTGTCTTGCGGGGGTTGATTTTAAATCGTAGTCATCAACAGGGATGACTTCCTGTTTTCTTTTTCTGGCTTTTACTTTTTTCTAATTACTTTAATGGTGATCAGCATTAGTTTTGTGGACATCAGTATGATTTAATTGTATTCTTCCCAGCCCACTCTCACACAGAGACACAGTCAATGTGGGCCGGCTGCACTTTAAGGCCCTGTTCACTCCTGGACACACCGTGGGCCACATGATCTACCTCCTGGACGGCCCGGCAGTCGGTTCCCCCTCCAGCCTCTTCTCTGGGGATCTGGTGTTCCTCTCAGGATGTGGTCAGTTGCACATCTTTTTTTGAATAAATGCTTGTTGGTTTCTGTTTAAAGAAGTTCAAATCCTTCATATTTATTTTTTCATCATCTTTTATTATCTTTTATTTCAGTGGCACATTGGTTTGAGTTGAAGTTTCTTTGCAGTTGTTCTAACAAACTTTTTGTTTTGGCGCTGAATAATTCCTTACAGCAGGGCTGTCTGAAAAGTAAAAAAATATATATTATTTTCTAGACCTGCTTAAGTAAATATGAGTATGAAAAAGCAGTTTTTCCAGACTTTATTTCCTATCCCATTGCATAAATGCTGTTTTCCTTCAATTCTTTCCTCCCTTCCTTATGTCCTTGCTTCCTTTCCTCCTCTCCTTCCTTGTGGTCCTTTAATTTCCTTATTTTTCCATTTTTCTTAATTTACTTGTCTCATTCCTCAGATCCTTTCTACCTTCCTCAAGTCCTTGGGTTCCTCAATCCTTTCTTCTCTACTCGCTTCTTCCTTACTGTGTTTCTTTTTTTCTGTTTTTCTTTTCCTTGCATAAATTAATGTAAAGTTTTGAAAACCTCTGGCAAGCCAATACTCCTTTTTAAATTTATACTTAAATTACATCAGAGTGTCTTGAAACTTTTAATTTGCAATCCATGACATGCCATTCCCCTGGGGCACAAATATCACATTTCTGTTAGACACTTTCAGAAATGGAAAAGACACGTTTTAGTAAAGACTAGAACGTGTCTTTACTAAACTTATAAGTCAGAAGTTGGCTACAAAAAGCTGCTTGTCTAAACTTGTTTATATCTAGAGTCGGAGCAATAACTAAAAACTTCAAAACGAGTGGAACTGTGACCAACAAGGCTCCACTGGTCCCACGTTTATCTTGCTCTCACACACAGTGAGCTTGATGGGATTGGAGGTAAAGTGAACCTCTAAAGCTCACTGTTGGAAAACTGCAGCAAACAGAGACTTCTTGGGATCTCCAAATCCTTAAAACATCCGTTAGACGCTTTCTACATACCAACCGGAGACTTTAACTAGACCATGAACCTTGAGCAAATGACGCCAAGATGGATCTTTTCAGCATCAAACATTCCAGATTGTTAGTCAATGCTATATTTAGATATAAAGTCTTCATTAGCATGAAGTTATAAGAAAACTTTTAAACTACCATTTATTTGGGGAAAAAACTTATTTTTTCACCTTTGGGTTATACTCGTCACTCAGCTTGTATTAAGCAAGTTAGGAGATGGGTCAAAGGAAAACAGGGGAGATTGTGAAAAGCTGGAAAATATCAATTTCACAACAACTCAGGTCAACTGGTAACAGGCCGGCTGTTGAATTAAAAGTGAAAAAATGCAAATGGCAGGCTTTGATTTTGTATTTCTAAATACTTTACTGTCGTTTCTGAACGGTACCACTTGCTGTACCTGTTAGGTTATTATTATCTTTTTCAGGTTGTCCTAATCATTTGCACATTTCTTTGAACTGTACTGTATTTTTTTTTCTTATGGTGTTGTAAAATCATTTACTTTTGGTAATTTTCCCTCTACGGGACAATAAAGGATATTCCTATTATTATTATTTTGGTAAATACTCTGCATGCATTTCCTCTAACATGGTGATTTGAACTTGATGTTTCCAGGGAGGATGTTCGAGGGCAATGCCACAACAATGCTCTCCTCTCTGGACACAGTCGGTTCCTTAAGTGATGATACTTTACTGTGGCCCGGTATGTAAACTGCTTCAACTGTCAGACAGAAAAGCTTTTTTTTTTTTTTTTTTTCAAACTTCAGATTGTAAACTGTAGAAACAAGAGTTGCTGCAAAGTCATAAACTGTTTGGAAATTTCTTGAATTTGATTTCAGCTTTTCCCAGGTCTGGATAAATATTTAGAAATACATTTGTTTCCACACTTTATTTCCTTTTATGGCCTTCTTTCATTTCCTTCCTTTTTTACTTTCTTCCTTGTGTCCATTTTTCTTTCCTTCTTTCGTCTCGTGTTCTTTTCTTTTCTTGCCTTTTTTGTGGCCTTCCATTCTTCTTTCCTTCTTTTCTTCTCATGCCCTTGTGTTCTTCCTACCTTCTTTTCTTGTCTTTATTTTTCTTTGTTTCCTTCTGTCCATCCTTAAAATTACATAGAGTTGAGAAGTCTAGAAAAGTGTTGAATTCTTGGCTGAAAAACGATCAGATTAAAGTTGTACTGTTTAGTTAATCCATTCATTTCCCTCATGTTTTAATTCAGAAGTGTTTGTGAAGCAGCAAAGAGCCACAGTTTGTCCTGTTTTTAACAGCAAACCATTTTAGGTATGCTAGTCTGCTGTTACCATGGTAACAGTCAGTTCTTAGGTTTATCACATATCATTAACAATGATATTTGATAACCACATGTTAAATGAAACCTTGAACTGCGACAGTAAAAAAGTAAAACACAACAAACCCAAAAGTTGGAAATGGTTCTTCACAGCTCTGTAAACGTCTGCTTCCTGATTGTTCACTTTACGTTTCCTCCTCTTACTGCCCAGCATCAAGCCCCTGGCGGCTAAAAGCTTTTAAGTCTCGTTTACATGCGATGTAAGTTGCTCTGTTTTGTTTTTTTTCGCGTGTCCTCTGACGACCCCGCAGGTCATGAGTATGCAGAGGACAACCTGCTGTTTGCTGCTGAGGTCGAGCCACGCAACGCCGCCCGAGAGAGCAAATATCAGTGGGTGCTGCAGCAGCGAGGCCAGAAGCTTTGTTCGGTGAGAATGATATTTCTGCCATTGTTATGCTCCTCAAGCCCGCCTTCCCAGAAAGGACTCGTGTTGTCCTGCACCGGGGAAACAAGGCTTATCGCTGCATACAGTTTACATGCTGTCAGAGCCTGGTCTGCAACCCTCCTCCCCCAACCGTCCAGGCTTACTGTCGAGCTTCATCTGTGATGCACTCTGCAGCCGGGCAAAGGCTCTCAGTTCAGGGCTTACCTGGAATTTAGATTGCTTTTTACCTCTTATCAATACAACATGACTGCACAGGCTGTTCCATTAGTTTTTACCTCCCGGAGTTTTGTCAACCTCCATTTCCAGAATACAGCATGTTGCCAAAGTGTTTATACCTCCTGAACTTTTGTGTATTTGATCACCTGCATTTCATACCGATTATACTCAACCAATCAGACGCATCAGCAACTGGATTTTATTGCAGGAAAAGAATATTCTATTATTTGAGTACTCTATCGATTATTGTTACGATTAATTGAGTAATCGGACAAAAATCTCTCGTCCTCTCTCTTTCTGGGAGGAGAAACGCTGTCGTACTCCAAGCACCGCACCAGTCGATTTAAGAATGCTTATCGGTCCCCTAAGAAAACGATAAAAACCTGGAAAATTTGACATTATGCAGTTAGCACTTAGCAACGACTCACAGGCGGAAGTGAGAGCGCTGCCCGACACAAACGATGATCCAGCCGGAACGCGGTGTGCGACATAATGAAACATAATTTAACGAAGCTTTGAGCCAGATCATTTAATAATCGAGGTGCTCGAATCATTGGAGGAATCGTTCCAGCCTTTAGATCAGAGTAAAAGGACAAATGCTTGCCACAGTTGTCATGTTTCTACGTAGAAAACAATCCTTTTTGTTCTGCACTACTTTGCGTTATAAAATAAGAGCTCAATATTTATATTTTTTTAGTTCTTGGTTGTAATATTACAGAAATTTATCCAAAAAAAATAAAAATAAAGCTGTATGAATACTTTTACGAGGCAGTGCATGGAAAGATTTTCTATATCATATTTCCAACACAGTGGGCAGTTGTTACTGGGAAAAAGCGTGAACACATTTAATTAGGTGTGACATTGTGTGAGAGCTAATTGGCCCATTATTTTCCTGTTCATGAAATAAAATCCCTACTATTTTACAGCTGCTTCCTGGCATCAGAGGACAGTGTTCACTCATTTCTAATCCCAAAGCAGAGCAGCTTTATGGCAACGTATTCCGTTCCAGGTGTTACTGGCTCCTGATTCGGGAATTTCTTTTGGAAAAGAAAGTCGCATCTGACTTCAGACAGGCGTTTTGGCTTTTCCTGGTAGGGAAAGGCCAGGTGTTACTAATAAGATTAGCATAGACTCCAGTGTCTCCATGTGTCCTCTAAGCCATGGCAGAGTGATGGTGAACCAGTACGAACAGCGCCAGGACTCTGAAGCAGCCTAATGAGATTCAGGCTCCGCTCATGTTTTCTGTTTGTGGCTGATTTCCATGTAGTCGCATGTCTGCCATGTAAAACGTAATAATAGCTTTTCTCACTTTAAAACTGCAAACTTAAATGTATTTTTGAGGGATTTTATGTGACAGACAAACACAAAGTTGAGCATAGATGGGCCATAAGTTTCCATACATAGAGAAAATAAACATTTTATTTTGGACAACCGTTTTTATTTTTGTGGGACTCTGTAATCGCTGCACGTGTTGGACCACTTTATGGTTGATCTGCAACATTTCCAGTTTTCTGAAACTTGCAAATAAGTTTTACCACAGTGTCTCGTGTGTGACGCTCATTGTGACGCTCGCTCCATGTTTTCTGCAACCATGCGACTGCTTCCCGATCCAGCCATCAGTACAGTTACAATTCTTTGCTCTTTTGTCAACGCATCTTCTTGGGTATCTGAAATATAAAATACATTTTACATTCTCCTATGTATGGAAACTTATGGCCCACCCTGTACATGAGTTTTTGAACACAATTTTCACCTCCATTGCATAAATATTTTGATTTGTGTCTACTTCTAGAGATCATAATATTCACCCATTACTAACCCAGATAGCACAGAATGATTGAAACAACATTGAATCAATGTCAGCCAGAAACATTGAATCAACG